GCTGTAGTTGAAAAGGTGTCACGACCTCAACAAAAACTGGAGAATCCAAATGCACGACCCAGGGACACAGTCTTGAATGTAACAAACATTTTCTTTTTAATGTCATTGAACAGAAAATCCCTCTAAAATAAACTTAAACTAACAAAACAACAAAACCTGACAAGACTGGAAACGATCCTTTCTTTGCTGAGGCCTGGCACGACCACACGTGGGAACAAACATGAACTGACACAGGATAGGGGGGAGACAGGACTATTTAAACATGAGGTGAGTGGGAACAGGTGGAAACAATCAGGGGTGGGGCAGACGCTGACGATGGCGGGAAAACACACAAAGGGAGGAAGTAACAGGGCCTGAAATTAGAAACAAGAGGACAAATGAAACAGGAGGAAAAGGAGACACAACATGAAACACAGGGACTTAACTAGAGATGAATGACATAAATAGACAGACCTGTCATGACGTGAATAAACATGAAAACCTTACTAAACATGAAATGACAGACATAATACATAAACATAACTGTTACGTCCCCACTAAGGTCTAGGGGACCTGGAGACAATAACATACAACCAATAAAAATGAGGGAGTCAGTGTAACAGTTGACAAAAGGTCTATTTTGCGTAAACCCAGAACCGAACAAACATATCATTGAAACACTCGGTTGGTGAGGAGGAGGAGGAGTCAAAGGATTGTGCCAAACAAAAGAAACAAGCATAACAAAACCAGGCCTATCTCTACATCTATCCTTTGAAACCAAAACTCAAACAAAAAAACCATCACTAACTAAACTACAAAGAATTTGACAAAACAATATACAGGGGTGGCAACAATCCGCTAACCTAGTGTGTCTGAACATTAGTTAGCTACGTGGTGAGAAATGTACAGGGTACCCCAGACTTAGCTAACTCCTCCACGTCTCAACACACCCACTTTCAAAAAGGTCAGACAATACAAAGATGATGAGTTGCTAAACACTGCAGGCTCCTTCATCAGCAACAGGCCCAGAGTGAGAGAGAGAAGACTTCCTGGGTGCCTCCTTTATGGTCGGCCCTGGCTGCTGATAGGCCAGCTGAGGGTGAGGGGATCCAATCAGCCATCAGATTCAGGTGCACAGGCAGATTCCGATCAGCTGCTGATTAGCTGTGCAGAAGACAAGGAGAAGAGAGAAACACAGGAGGGAAAGAAAACCCCACAAGTACAGCCTGCCTGGCACGTAACACCCCCACACATATAAATCCAAACAGTATGTTTGGACCCGACAATATACATTTTCTATTTACATAGCACGAGATAGTGCATCGGCAAGAACATTATCGGCCCCCTTTAGTAGACAGAGCACAACCAGGTACAGGCAATAGAACCAACACCTTGTCACCTGGCTGAAACAAGCGTGTTAGCGCCTTCTGGTCGTAGCGTTTCTTCATTTTCCCCTGGGTAGAGGTCAGAGCTTCCCTAGCCAAGGAGCAAGCACGATGTAGACGATCCTTAAGTTTGGCGACATACTCTGGGATACTGCAAACTTTTTTCATTGGCATGATCAAATGCTCTTTAAGAACTTTTAAAGGACCTCTGACTTCATGTCCAAACACTAGCTCAGCAGGACTAAAACCTAGAGACTCCTGAACAGCTTCACGGGCGGCAAATAACACTAAAGGAACACCGTCATCCCAATCTTTATGAGACTCGTGGCAATGTTTTCTTAACATGCACTTCATAGTCTGGTGAAACCTCTCTAATGCCCCCTGACTTTCAGGATGATATGGGCTGGATGTCACATGCTTGATCCCTAAGGTGTCAAGTACCCGGGCAAACACTTTAGACATGAAGTTAGTACCTTGGTCTGTTTGAACTACCTTTGGTAGACCAAACGTGGAGAAAAACTTCAGAAGTGCCTTGGTGATGACCGGGGCAGTGATTTTCCGTAGTGGGATGGCTTCTGGGAACCTAGTGGAGGCACACATGACAGTTAAGAGAAACTGGTTTCCAGTTTTAGTTTTTGGCAAGGGTCCCACACAATCCACAATCACCCTTTCAAATGGCTCTCCCATTACTGGAATGGGAATGAGAGGAGCAGGGTGAATCACCTGATTTGGTTTACCAGCAACTTGGCACACATGACATGTTCGACAATAAAGAACTACGTCAGACTTAAGTCCTGGCCAAAAGAAGTGTTTTAAAACTCTTTCATACGTTTTTGTTACCCCCATGTGACCTGACCACGGATGATCATGAGCCATCACCTGAGAACGATAGGCTGTTGGCACGACAACCTGATAAATTGCAAAGGAGTCTGACTCCTCACAGGCATCACTAATCCAGCGACGCATCAATAGTCCATCTTCCATAATATAGGCCATCTTCTTTGACTTGGCCTCTTCCTGACTGATAACAGAAGAGAGACATTTAGAAAGTGTTTCATCACTTAACTGGGCTGCCATGAATTCTTCCCGAGTGGCAGGCAGTTGTACAAGCTCTGAGCTGTTACTGGGTGATCCAGCACCAGCAGACCGGGCCTCCTCTGGCAGTCGGTCCGACGCAGTCATGTCTTCAAGAAACTGCCCTGTAGCAAGAAAAGAATCAGACAAGTCCTCTCCATATTTCTTTGACTGGGCCCTTGTAACAACACAAGCAGGAAAGATTTCGGGAGGTACTTCAGCTGATTTATCTGCGTCTAAACTTAGATCAGGAGAATCAATGACCTCAGGTACTGGCTTAACTTTGCCTCCAGCCAAGTCATTACTGAGGATGAAATCAACACCTTTGATGGGCAAGGCAGGGAGGACAGCTACTTTAAAGAATCCTTTGACAAGGGACGAGTGACTATAAACATTGTGCAAAGGAGCCGCAACTAGTGTCATGCCTACCCCTTGAACAACAGCACTTGATCCACATGATGACCTGGAGGTTAAAGGTAAGATGCCTTCCCTAATAATAGACTGAGAACCTCCGGTGTCCTTAAGTACCTGTACTGGCAGCTGGTCTTTAGGATCCCCTGTTAAAGAAACAAAGCCCTTTGAAATAAAGGGTTTGAAGCAGGGATCAGGTACATCATCTTCCTGGGACATTTCTATGTCTGATAGGCAAACTCCTTTAATGAGTCCCATGCCTTTTGGCGTTTGAAAGCGTTGCGAAAATTGTTGTTTACGCTTTAAGAAATGACACCCTGAAATAAGGTGTCCTGTTTTATGGCAGTAGTTACACTCACGGGGCCCCCGTGGAGGTGATGGTGGTCCTCTAGACCTTTCAAAAGTTGTTGGGCCAAGATCAGGTCTTCCGGTTTGCGACTCTGTAGCTTTATCTGGGCGCAAGGGTGAAGAAAACACAGTCTTGTGAGTGAGCATAAATTCATCCGCTAAAACAGCTGCCTTAGCCAGTGAAGTGACCTTCTGTTCATTTAAGAATATCACCATCCTTTCAGGCAAAGAATTCTTAAAATCTTCCAAGAGAAGTAACTGACGAAGACTCTCAAAATGATCCTTCACTTCCAGGCAAACACCTGTTTCTCTAATCCTCCACTGTTACATAGCGGCCTTAGTCGGCTGCGGCAAGCAATTGGCCTTGCTCCGGGCACCGGTTCCCTCGGGGACCACGGCTCGGTGGCTTCACATGATATAGGGTCGACCCTACTTCATCACAGGCTACCTGTTTGATCCTGCGTAACAACCTAATATATGCTTGTCTGCAAAGAGGGAAATGCCTGGTCCCGCCCGGGTGTTCCTCTTTTGTGACAGTGTATTGAAGCATCGGACCCAATGTCGCCATCACCAGCCCCGCGGAGGTGGTACCATTTAAGCAAGTGCAGCGCATTCTCCCCGACAGTCAGCCAGCAAACATGGAGGCTCCTGCCGGGTGCACCAAGCGTTCTCCCCGACAGTCCGCCAGCAGACCTGGAGGCTCCTGCCGAGTGCATCAAGCGTTCTCAGAACGTGAGGTGCTCCCCGACAGTCCGCCAGCAGACCTGGAGGCTCCTGCCGGGTGCTCCGTACCGTGCTCCCCGAACGTGAGGTGCTCCCCGACAGTCCGCCAGCAGACCTGGAGGCTCCTGCCGGGTGCTCCGTACCGTGCTCCCCGACAGTCCGCCGCCAGCATACCTGGATGCTCCTGCCGGGTGTACCGTACCGTGCTCCCCGACAGTCCGCCATCAAACCTGGAGGCTCCTGCCGGGTGCACCTCGCGTTCTCCCCGACAGTCCGCCAGCAGCTTACACCTGCTGGAGGCTCCTGCCGGGTGCTCCGCGCCATGCTCACCAGCCCCGCGTATGTCCACCGTGCGCCTCCGGGTAGCACACTAACTCTGAGCACCATGACTCAAGTGCGGCGAATGCCGTAGCGCATATATGCTTGTCTGCAAAGAGGGACATGCCTGGTCCCGCCCTGGTGTTCCTCTACGGCTAGTGTCCAGCCAGCTGC